GACTGTGTTGCAGAGTCATGAATGGTCTGTAGAAATTATAAATGGTATATATACAAATATTCATGTAGCCTAAAATACAGTGGGCCTTGTTCATTAAACAAACAGAACACATTCCAACATTATTCACTGATATAATCCCAAAATATTCATTGTACTCCCAACACAAAACTCACTCAAGCTTCACAGTTGTCTTCCATGAAACAATCCTAGTCACAGAATAGGCTAGTTTTTCACATTTGAGGACAGAATTAGGTGTTCTGCCATCTTAAAAGGTAGAGGTAGGATCTAGTGTAAACTGACTAATGACCAGAGTAACATGCTCAAAATTTCTTATACACAACTGCTGCATTCTGAACTACCTGGAGCTGATATAAATAGACAGCTGGGCAATTGGCCAGTAACATTTTAGAGTAGTTAAATCTAGTTGTTATGAAAACATGAATTAATTTCTCAGCATCTTGTTGGAAGAGCATGTGTCTCATTTGTATAATTTTCTCAAACAATAAAATGCAGTCTTTGGGATATTCCAAATACGGAACTCAAACTAGCACCCAGTGTTGAACCAAGATCTTTAACTGCAGCTTGTGGAAATCTGCAGATTTTATCCTTGAACTGGTTTTTCAAGCATACTTTGAATACTTCTGTCTTTATCAGTGCATTCTTGGTCATCCAGACTTTTATGTCTGTAACAGAGTCTTCTGTTACATGCAACTATTCAAGGAATCACTTACTTAAAAAAGAATATAGCTCTTAGACAACAAATCCTTCAAATATTTTATATGGAAAACGAACATTTGAAACGTGATGAAAGAGTGAGCTATCAGTGGGATCAAGTTCAGTTTCTTAAGTAATGGCTTCACAACAGATAACTTAAAGACTTTAGGACAAGGCTGAGGTTGGGTGGGATCTTAGAATTATTACTTCATTGATCATTTGTTACTCTAGAAACAGTTCTATCAGGAATTTGTTGTGTTTATTATGATGTATAAATGATAGAGGATCTGATTCAGTCTGTTTTGTGATCCTGATAAACCTAAAGAAGGAACTACTAAATTATGAACAAATTAAGTTGAGCAATAAAATTATATGAAAAAAAGCACATGTTGCAGGTAGTTTTGTCTATGAGTTGTATCTGTTTAATTTATTAGGAGGAACTGTGGTCATTACATTGGTGTTACTCTGTTTTATTCCCATCAGGCAGCACTCCATAGAAACAGCACTGCAGACACACAAAGAAGCACATGTAACTGGACATATTCTGCAAGAGGATTACCAACCAGTGGATGTCCTGCAGACAGTCTTAGAGAAACACAAAACCAGCATGAAGACCAAATATGAGAGCTTATTTGAGGGAATCAAAACACAAGAGAATAAAAATTTCCTCAACAGGATTTACACACAGCTCTCCATTGTAGAAGGAGAGAGTGAAGGAGTGAATGAAGAACATGAGGTTTTACTGATACATCCTTACAAAACTTCCAGGAAACAATTACGAGATACTCCAATCGACTGCTCAGATATATATAAACCTCTACAAGATCTCAGAAAAGAAAAGGAGAAAGAGAACATTAGAACTGCACTGTTTAATTCGGAAATAGAAATAAAACACAAAGAAAGAATAAAAGAAATAAAAGATGATCAGCTTAAAGCTGTGTTTATATTTGATGGTCTGGATGAAAGCAGAATTCCACTGAACTTTAAACAGTGTGAGAAAGTATCTGACATCACCATGACATCATCAGTGGATGTGTTGATGACAAACCTCATCAGAGGAGAGCTGCTTCCCTCTGCCCTGATCTGGATAACCTCCAGACCAGCAGCAGCCAATCAGATCCCTCCTAAATACCTCAACCGTGTGATAGAAATTCAGGGATTCAGTGATCCACAGAAGGAGGAGTCCTTCAGGAGGAGGATCAGTGATGAAGACCAAGCCCAGAGAATCATCTCCCACATTAAGACAGTGAGGAGCCTCCACATCATGTGCCACATTCCAGTCTTCTGCTGGATCTCAGCCACTGTTCTTCAGAGAATCATGAAACAGCGTAAAACAGAACTGGTTTTCAAACAGCTGATGAAAGGCAATGTGATGTTCTATGAAGAGGACCTGAGAGAGAGCGGCATTGATGTCACTGAGGCCTCAGTGTATTCTGGGATTTTCACTGAGATCTTTAGGGAGGAATGTGTGCTTTACCAGAGGAAGGTCTACTGCTTTGTTCATCTGAGCTTTCTCTGCTGTTTATGTGTTTCATTGCTTCTTAAACAAGAATATGAAGCCACTGCAGATATTTAAACCACAATACAGTGAGTGGGACAAGAATATTCAATTGAATGAGCTTCTAAAGGGAGCAGTGGATAAAGCATTACAGGGTGAAAACGGACACCTGGAAAATCACAGAGTACATAAAGAGATTCATCAAAAGAAATGATAAACAATATTATATCTCAACTGAAAGATCCATCAGTATTTTTTTCTGTCTGTCTGAAATGAATGACCAGTCTCTCTCCAGAGAGCTTCATGAGAAGAGAAGCTCTCTCCTGGACCAGTTCAACCCTACCCTGTATGCAGCTGATCTCAGAGGAGTTGGATGAGCTGGACCTGAAGAATTACAACACATCAGAGGAGGTACTGACAGAAAGAATAATTTAACATTCATTTTCTTATAGTACACATTGGTTGTTGCTAGTCATAATATAAAATCCGTGTTATTGATTCAAGGTGAACCCCCACCCTCTTAATGTATGAAATAATCTAACAGGCCTGTGTAGAGCAAGTCTGCAGTTCCCCTCTGCAGATCCCTTCCACCTCACAAACGTATATACAAACAATTTGTAACGTGTTGTGATGCTATTTTCAAAGCAAGGGCTTTTATCTGCAAAAGCAAAATGAAAAATTAAAATAAACTGGAACAGAAACACTTGCATGTGATTTAGGTACACAAATATATTAGCCAGTATATCACTTGCAATGGTTTGATTTATTGTATAAGGTCTCTCAAAAATTGCTTGGTTTAAAACTGCATTTCCTTTAATTATGCCTGCAGCCATCAAATTATATTCTTTTATGTCCTGCACTCAGAAGAACATCTGAGATTAGGCAGTTTTAAAGTGTCAAAGGAAAAAAGGGCACACTTTGTGTAGTTGACTATGTGTAGCATATGTTATAGCAATGTAACAGTTTTTACTTTATATTTCAAATATTAAATATGTTTTTGTTGGTAAAGTGCCATTTAAGGTTAATATGTTTTATAAAAACATAGAGGTTTTACATACAAATCACCGAGGTCAAACCAATACTTAAAGAAATTTTTCTTTTATTTAATGTAGAATACTATGTACATACTACACCTTTACAAATATTCCATATTCAAAGCCATGCTAAAACATGTATTGTGGAGTCTATGCAATATGGCAACATAGAAAACAGCTTCTTAGAGTTGTCACTGGGTTTTATAGATCTAGTTCTCACTTGTTACGATTTTGCTTCTAACAGTAGTCATTTGTTGCCATTGTTTAATATAAATACGTTGGTCCAATGGCAAACTTTTTTTTCAATTTCACAATTACTATTGTATATTTGTTGCCACTATTGTTGTCAAATCTTTATTTTCTATTCATATTACTGTTCTTGTTTTGTTGTTTTGCTATTCTGGGTTGACCAGAGTAGGATGGGCCCTCTCAAAGACAGTGGCTCAGTGAAAAACTGAGCCACTGTACGCTGGGTTTTGGGTTGCTGATGGGTCCTCAGATGTATATGTGAGAAAAGCCTACTGAGTACTGGAGGACTTCACAATGATCAGATGCATCAAGATGAAACTGCATACAAAACCTTCATAAAGCTGCTCTATCACTATGACTACAAATAGTTTACTGTCACCATTGGTAAACATGGGTAACAACACGTCATAAAAAATATATTTAGGATTAATTAGTCCATTATTGCACATTGCTGGAAGTAAATGTGTTCAGGAGTTCTGGTAAAGTGGTAAAACCTAGAATATAAATATCAGATTTAATGATATCAAATGGAATGTAGTTGGAGCACATTACACCAGTATGAAGATCTGTATGCTGACTGCAGAAAGGTAACTACTTCTCTGCAAGTCACTCACTGGCTTAGGACCAAAATCTCTGATCTATTAGATGAATATAATCAGGCCTCTCATATTACTACAGACTGGTCAACTAGCAGTTCCTAGAAATAGAACCAAGTATGATGAAGCAGCATTTAGCGACCCAAACCTGGAATTAGCTGCCAGAAGATTTCAGATTTGCTCCAAATTTGCCAATTTTCACTTGTGCAAACTTTATTTCCTGTCCTGTGCCCCAAAACATTATGCACGTCCTGTTAAATTTAGTCAAGTTTTTTATTGTTTATCTAAATTGCTCTTTTTCATGCTGTTTTTTTTTTCACTTTCATTTAAGCAAAACATTTGGCTTTGTGTATGAAACATGTTATATTGCATGCTTTATCCTACCCTGTCTCTGTATTTTTTTTTGTTTGTTGTTTTTTATCAAAGATATTAATAATATATCCATTAGCAGTTGTTAGTTGTTTTTTGTTGGATTGATTTGGTAATTTGGTACTATAATCATAAACAGTTATTAATGGTCTCTGAAAATTACAATGCTGAGAGCACTTTGCTAGCTGTTAAATACAAACAAGTTTATTTCCTTAATTTTTCACACATATCAAATAACTGTAGCTTCTTGTATGTAAATAAGTAAATAAATAAATAAGTACATAGACAACCATGATGATATTCTTATTCTAATACATTTATTTCATTTACATTTAATCTATTAAATATTAAAACATTTAACTGAGTAAAGTTTTCTGGGTCACTTTGTCTTTTCTTCCAGTAAATTTCTGTGAGCTCCACCACTTTAATTACTGTTGTGATGTAATATGTCTGAAATGTGGTCTGACTGCTTTTTCTGGTTGTAGAGAAAGGGGAAGCTGCAGGTGTTTTAAGCTTCAGTGACAAAGAGAATGAGTGTTTGTAGATGTGTGTGTAACAAAGTGGTCTTCAGGACTGAAATGGGGGTTCAGAGTGTGTGAGATTCTGCTGTAGCTCTCTCAACTAACCCTCTTTGATCATCCTAATAAAGGAATGAAAATGGACTTTCTCCCTGAAGACTAAGAGCCAAAAAAGGTAACAGTTCTTTTTTTTGTTACAGATATCACTGCAGTGTCATATTGTTCACTCTGTATTAGCAATTATGACTTTCAATATTAAGCAGGTTTTTTTAACTGAAAGAGGGCTGGCAGGTGAGGTGATCAGTAAAGCAGGTGATCATTTCCTGTGAAGTCTGTCTTGCTGTATTTCTGTCTACATTCTATGGTCAAATTGTTTAAAAAAGTTCAGCGGGCATGGTGGGCTTAAATTACTTTGGGTTTGGGGTTTAGACCATTACTTTTTGTTTTCAGAAATCTCTTATCGAACAGTACTGAGTAAAAGTATGTCTAAGTGTACACATGAATTCACCTCATGTTTAATGCCAACAGAAAAAAATGCTTTTCTTTCTTGTTCTTGTATGGCTTTTCCTTTCTATTATGTCTTATGAAGCAGCACCATGTAATAGTATCCTTCTCATAGCTATATCTGCTGCATGTTTGCTCTGGCACTGGCTGATCAACCTGTGCACAGAAGCTTTTTGCATACAAACACAAGATCACAGCTAAGCTGAGAAAGATGCAATTATTTTTTAAAATGAATCTGTAGAAGCTAAATGAAAGAAACCCATAATGTATTTTTGTTATTATTTTTATGTAAGGATTTAATTTTGTACTCACAAATATGAAATATTATACTGCAGTAGCATTACAATTGTATCCCGTCTCTTTAAGCAAAAACTAACTGTATGATCTATTGTTTTTTCCATGTTAAGATGCTTCATTAGCATTCCGAACATTATTTTGTCAGCTGTAAATTTTAATGTGTTTTGTCTGCCATTTTTTGTCTATTTGTCTATTTTTTCCATGTGTGCTTCACTCTCTTCTCTAGTACAAGTACTGGATAATGTCAAAGAAAAATCCTACCATTTTTAAGAGGACTACATGATTTAAATGGGGCCATATTATGGAAAACTGAATTTCCTTAAAGTTTTAAAGTAAAGGAGTTTGGAATTATATGTAATCATAGTTAATGTCACAATTCACTCCTTAATCCATAAACAAACTTAATTCATTGTCTTTGTGATGTCCCAGGAACCAACTAATTTACTAATATCCATCTGTTCAGTCCACAACAGTTTAGCTTGCCCATTTATATTTGAGTTCTAATTGGTGTTTCAGCTTTGAGTATGTGTGTTTTGAAAAGTAGAAACGTTGTGATGGAGCACCAGAACTCTAAGAGAGGAGGAGGAACCTCTAACCCAAAGTGAGTAGCTTTCCATCAGTGTGAGAAAATAGGAAACATTGTTTATGTCAATTATGTTCAAGCTAAATGAGTTTTAAGTAATTGCTCATCACTTCATTCTCGTCTTGTTAAAATGCTTCAGGGCAATGCGTGCAGGATCTCCAGCACCTAGCTGTGTGTCAACAAAGAGTGATGATTCTATGGACAGTCCTCCTGTTTTCAGCAGTGGACCTGTGCCCTTTACCCAAAAGTGAGTTATTGTCCTTTACCGAAAAATGTAGGATATGAGCCCTTTAAGAATCAAAGATTTTCAAGTGTATTTGTCTTTATCAGGTATCATTTTAATTAATATATTCAACTAACTCAACAGCCTACCGCAAGTGCTTTACAATCCTATGGATGTTTTTATGGAAAACTACTGATAGAAACAGTACAGCTATGTGTGTTGGAGCATCAGAACTCCAGGAAAGGAGGAGGTGGTTTTAGAGGCCTATCTCTCTGCCTCTCTTCCTCTTAGTGCTCAGTGTCATCCCGTATTGTCACGCCTTAAGGGATTTTGGAAGAAGACTGCAAAGATTTTTATCTTTGACCCCTTTCTGAACATAACCTCCAGTATTTGGTACAATCCCTGTTTATGTATAGGTAAATCCTCTTTTTATTGGAAAGAATGGGTACAGAGGGGCATTGCAGTGCTTGGTGACCACTACATTGAGCAGGACCTCAAATCCTTTAATGAGACCTCTATTTTATCAAGCTATGGTAGGGGACACAAAGCATCACTCAATGTTATTGCAGAAACATAACACCACCAATTCCCTGAAAACTGTATGGGAGACAGATTTTGGAATCACTTTTACCAACATTCTACATAATTTAAAGAGCATGTCACACGATATTCACACTAGGTTTATTCAATTTAAGATTATTAATAGAATGTATTGAACAACCTCTAAACTGTATAAGGCTTACCTTAAAAATGATTCTGGTTGCTGGCAGTTCACTGATGAGGGTACAATAACTTATGTCCTATAGTCTCGCCCCAAAGTACAGGACTTTTTGAAATTATTCCACAATTGTATTCAGAGAATTGTTGGCCAGAAAGTCCCCTTTTGCATTTGTCTTTTTTTGTTGGGGGCCCCATCCACTATGAAAGACACACTTCCTTCTATCTACACTGAACGAGTTCAGACTGCTGTTAGGTTGGGCAGGAGACTGCTCCTGCATCCAGCAATGGAAGTCAGCTTACATACCATCAATTTCAGACTGGCAGTACTGTGTAGAATGGTACTACTTGAAATGGGAAAGATTTCTTCACTATATCAATGACCCTTAGAAGATAAACTTATGGCTTAGCTCCCCTTCATGTGTATACACACACATACTCAACACAGCCCCACTACTACAAAGCCGTTTTTTCTTTCTTTAAAAAAAAAAAAGAAAATACCTGTATTTTAGATTTTCCTTTTAGTTATGTTTGGTCTCTCTCTTTTGAGGTAGTTGTCAGTTTGTACATTGTCTCCTTTTTCCTGTTTTATGTATATGTATAGTTGTATGTTCTAAAATACAATAAAATGTCAATCACAAAAAAAAAAACCTCTAGCAAGGGAAAACAGTTGAAATAGCTAAAGATAATGTTTCGGTGGCTAACCTGTTTTGCTTGGGTTAATTATTGTACTCTGGATGTTAAAAAAGCAAGGACTAGAGGAATTTGGGGTGGGTTTTAGCCGAGAGGTATCTTTGTTAGTTATTTTGCTGCAAACCAGCAATAAAAAGTTTAATAAATTGTCCCCAGGTTACATCTGGTTCTGCAAGACTACAGCACACGTAGCACAGCATAATACCCGTTGTCCAGCACATGTCCGGTTGCTCTATAATTGTGATTTTAAACCTCAGCAGTAGAGAAAGCTGTTCTAACATGTCTGGTCACAGCATTTTGCATTCATGTTTGTAAACGCTTTTTTGGTATGTTGTGGTGTAGTAGGTCACAACATTGCTCTCCATGTGGCAGACTGGGACTTTATTCCCTGTCTAGGCGAGCACACTGTGCTATACCAATAAGAGGCCTTGGGCAATACATTAGCTTATTTCTATGATATAATGCAAACTGTCGAGCCCCTTATATTTAAATGTGTAGAAACATACATACAGAGGCAAGGCAAATTACTCTAAAAACAAAGTGTGTTAGCCAACCATTGACCACATAGTTTGCTATTTAGTTCACAGATATAAAATTCAGAACAGGTGCTATTTTTATGCTACATACCAGTTCAATTATAATTATAAACTTCTTACATGAAAACTTTTTAAAATGTAACACAAAGTTATAATTACTTGGTTACACAGTTGTGTGTGATGGCTATTTTTCCTAGTTAGCAAGACTCTAACTTCCACAAGTACATACATGAAACATGAAAGCCCATTAACACTCTTGATATGATATTTTCCAGGTTACCTAGAATTGCCTCAATGCTCATGTGCCCAGTCGACCAGCAGCATTTGGGACACTGTTTTTCATAATGTAGAATATAAAACATATATTGGTGTTTATGTTATGTTTGTTACTGTATGATCCCCATCAGGCAGCACTCCACAGAAACAGCACTACAGATAAAGACCCTGGAAACTGGACACCTGCAGCAGAATTCTTTCCAAACAGTGGATGACTTCCTCCATACAGTCTTAGCGAGGCACAAAACCAGCATGAAGAACAAGTATGAGACCTTATTTGAGGGAATCAAAACACAAGAGAATAAAACCCTTCTGAATAGGGTTTACACACAGCTCTACATCATAGAGGGAGAGAGTGAAGGAGTGAATGAGGAACATGAGGTTTTACAGATGGACAAAACCCCCAAAAAACACTTACAGGACATTCCAATCAACTGCTCAGAAATTTTTAAACCTCTACATGGACCTGAAAGCGAAATGAATATTAGTGCTGTGATGGCTAAAAATCTCAGCCTCAATGGAGAAGATGATGGGCAAAATGTGCAAAAGCTCAGAACAGTTCTGACTAAAGGCATTGCTGGAATTGGAAAAACAGTCTCCGTGCAGAAGTTCATTCTGGACTGGGCTGAAGAAAAAAACAATCAGGATGTAGATTTCATGTTTGTGCTTCCGTTTCGGGAGCTGAACCTGATTAGAGATGATCAATACAGTCTTCATGGACTTCTGTGTGGTTTCCATCCTGAGCTCAAAGATCTGCACCCAAAGATTTTTGATCAGCTCAAAGCTGTGTTTATATTTGATGGTCTGGATGAAAGCAGAATTCCACTAAACTTTGAACAGTGTGAGAAAATATCTGACATCACCATGACATCATCAGTGGGTGTGTTGATGACAAATCTCATCAAAGGAGAGCTGCTTCTATCTGCTCTGATCTGGATAACCTCCCGACCAGCAGCAGCCAATCAGATTCCTCCTAAATACATCAACCGTGTGACAGAAATTCAGGGATTCAATGACCCACAGAAGGAGGAGTACTTCAGGAAGAGAATCGGCAATGAAGACCAAGCCAAGAAAGTCATCTCACACATTAAGACAGCAAGGAGCCTCCACATCATGTGCCACATTCCAGTCTTCTGCTGGATCTCAGCCACTGTTCTTCAGCAAATCATGAAACAACGTAAAACAGAAATCCCTAAAACTCTGACTGAAATGTACTCACACTTCCTGCTCACTCAGACAAACATGAAGAATGAGAAGTATGCAGAGGAAGATGAGAGAGACCCAAAGAACCTGCTGGAGTCCAACAGAACCATGATACTGAAACTGGCTGAACTGGCTTTCAAACAGCTGATGAAGGGCAACGTGATGTTCTATGAAGAGGACCTGAGAGAGAGCGGCATTGATGTCACTGAGGCCTCAGTGTATTCTGGGATTTTCACTGAGATCTTTAGGGAGGAATGTGTGCTTTATCAGAGGAAGGTCTACTGCTTTGTTCATTTGAGCTTTCAGGAGTTCCTGGCTGCTGTTTATGTGTTTCACTGCTATGAGAGCAAGATCATGGAGCCACTGCAGTTTTTCCTGCATGATAATCAGCATAATCACAGAAGCCACTCCAAGACACATAAGCATAGGAGTCAGCCTGAGAATGTTCCACTTGATGAGTTGCTAAAGGAAGCAGTTGATAAATCCTTAAAGAGCCTGAATGGACACCTGGATCTTTTCCTCCGTTTCCTGCTGGGCATCTCACTCAAGTCCAACCAAAGACTCCTACGGGGCCTACTTACACACACATACAGCTGCCCAAAGAAAACAATGCAGTACATCAAGGAGCTAATAAAAAGAAATGAAGATAAACAATATAAAATCTCAACTGACAGATCCATTAATCTTTTTCTCTGTCTGTCTGAAATGAATGATCAGTCTCTCTCCAAAGAGGTTCGGGAGTATCTAAAATCTGAGAAGCACTCAGAAAAGAAGATTTCTCCTGGACAGTGTTCAGTATTAGCCTGCATGCTTCTGATCTCAGATGAGGTGATAGATGAGCTGGACTTGAAGAAGTACAACACATCAGAGGAGGGTTACAGGAGACTGAGCCCAGCTTTGACTGTCTGCAGAAAAGCTCTGTGAGTTACATATCTAGATTCTTATGACAAGTCTAGTTTACTGTAACTTTTATAAATATTTGCATAATAGTACTTCACAGATTACAAGTAAGGTTTTAGCTATTTGGTATTCAGATTTTCCAGTATGTACACTTTATTACAAACATCTCCTTTATAACTCCAACTTGCTGGTGTACAGTTAGAAGATGTAGACCACCTGTTAATGCTAACTTTCTGTTAGCCATTCTCTATTCACATACTTCTCAACTTTGGAGTTAATGGAATGGTTATCAAGAAAGTACATAAGCCCATACTTTTTATAACATTTTGGAATAACTTTTCCATAAAATCTCTGACACCAATGGTATCGCATTGGCATTATAAACTAAAACAGAATGGCTGTGTGAGTGAAAGCATTTGTACTGAGTTATGGATAAAAATCTTTGGTTGAACTCACACTCCTGTAACTTAAGAATAACAGTTAGTTTTTGTTGTTCTCCAAAATTCTCTATAATTACATAGTTATATAATAATATGCATTATGATGTAATAGGCTTGAGTTTTTATATTTGCAAATATTCCTATACACATATAGGAAGTTGTGTGCACATATAAATCTGTCCTTACCACCTTCTTACCTTTGTAGTTTGGATTCCAAACACTTTTCTGTTACAAACTGTTGTGGGCTACTGATGAGTAGAACTCTGGAACGTCATTTGTGGCAATTGCAGTGGGGGCAAGGGAGCGTCTTTTTTTTTTCAGACATAATGCCCAAAAGAGTCAACATTTTTATTTGCCAAGTACCAAGTGTACAAGGAATTTCTCTGGTGCAGGTGTCAAAGTAAAATTAAATCCAATAAAACAATGGGGAAACATGAACGCCAGGCCATTCTTTTTAGTATGGTAAAATCCAATAAAACTAAAATAAAAAAAATAAAAAAAAAAACTGCAAGTAAAATGATGTGCAATGGGAGATGAATACATACACAGTCAAGTACTGGAGGTACATATAGTATGTACAGTGTGGAAAAATCTTTGATCTTGCCATGGAAGAGATTCAGGAGACTGGGGTTTGCGGAAATAATGATGGTTTTATTAAAAAGAGAGCGCTCAGTATACCTGTCTTAATCTCACCCCAATCTAAACAGCAGCTCAGATACACAGCTTTTATGCTATGCCACTGACCCCCTCCCCCAAAAGAGTCATACAGAACAGAGTGGGACATTTGAATCCTGTCTTTAATACCTTTCTGCCCCAGGACATCCTCCTTGGGGGTGTTGTAAGGCCATTTGGTGTAACTGTTCAAACCACGAGTACAGAAATGGAGGTGGCTTCTTAAATCCTTCAGCATTAATACTGTTTAACAATGAATAACAATTAAAGCAAAGGAAAATACACAGAAAACTAGAAAATAAATCAAAATAAAACAATTCCCAACAACAGCGAAGAGAATTGAGGAGCAAATTAAGCATCTATAAAATATGTATATTGCATATGTGTATATTACATATGTGCACTGATTTTACATCAATATGATGTTAGCATGTGATATTTGGAAGACGTTGGATTTTGGTTACACAACTTAAAACCAACAAAATATCAATGTCAGCTGTCGTCAGTATTCTACACCAAAGTGACATTGTAACCCAATATCACAACCTTCCATTAACCAGATATCATTGTCTAACAATGTTGCTAGCCAGCTGGCATCATTGTTTGAAATGACACTGACCATAGCAGTGTCATTTGCAACTTCAGAAAAAAACACTTTTCAAAAGTTTTACAGAATCATTGTTGGAAGTGCAGTCATTGGTGCAGAGAGAGGAGAGCAGAGTAGAGAGAGCACATAGCCTTAACTAGCGCTAAGGCAGAGAGGGTCCAAAATGTGGTTATCCACTCTGACGTATTGTTTCCTGTTAGACAAGAAGTTGTGGATTCAGTAGCAGACAGGTGGGCAGACATTGAACTGCCACAGTTTATCTAATAGAAGGTCTGGAATGATGGTGTTGAAAGCAGAGCTAAAGTCTACAAGCAGCATGCAGGCATAAGTGTTGGGGCTATCCAGGTGTGGCAGGATGTAGTACAGATACAAATTAACTGTATCATCATCAGCTATATATACAAACTGCAGAGAGTCCTTGAGAGTATCAGACATGACTTTAAGATGCTGAAGTAAAAGTCTCTGAAAACAATGACTAAACATGTTAAGGCAACTGGTCTGTAGTCTTTCAGGCAGGAAATCTGCTTTTTGGAATGAGAATGAGGAAATAGACCCCAACCAGAATCACATAGTTAAATTCCCAAGGTGAGTGGAAATTGCAGCTGATGATATGAGTTTCCAGTTCAGGACAGCACATTCTGGCCAGAAAGGTTATATCCCTGCACCAACATCTTGTTGCTGAGTGAGCACAGGTTGGAAAGAAGTATGCTAGGGAGCTCCAGGAGCTCATTCCAGTTGCACAAAGAATGGTCACGATGGGCTTCTTTGGCTGCAGACAATGGCCATAATGTCTGGTTATGTCCCATGCCCTCCATAAAGCACTCCTTTACTTTTTAGTGTTTTATTAATATTGTGTTTATTGATGCTTGTTCCATATCTCCTGTTTAAAGTATACTGTGTTCTGTGCTTATTTTTGCTTTACAGACTAGCTGGCTGTAATCTCACCATAAACTCATGTGAAACTCTGTGCTCTGCTCTACAATCAGCAAACTCTTCCCTAAAAGAGTTGGACCTCAGTAACAATGATCTGCAGGATTCAGGAGTGGTGCTGCTCTGTGCTGGACTGAAGAGTTTGCACTGTAAACTGGAGATACTCCGGTGAGTTGTCTCTATATAAGATCTTAAATAGTAAATGTTAATCTCTTTTGAAAAATAAATATTAAGGCCTATTCCGCATTTGGAAAAGCATGAACGTGAAGAAATATTATAGAGATCAGCTACAAAATGCAAGATAGAACTGAGGAGAAATGGTGAAGTAAATATGAACAAGAAAGTATGTAGGAGAGAATGATAAAGTTAGTTCCAAAAAGGACATTAATTAAGGAATAATTAAATAAAAGTAAATCGAAAAAAGACAGCACTGTATTTGCAAACTCTAAGTGTTTTTTTTACTCAATATTCCCTTAATTCAGTCATTGCCAATTCCTACCTACTAGTGCCTACTAGTCTCCCCTTATCTCATGAAGCTACCAAGCCAGGAGTGCTTATTAATTCAAATATACCAGTTTTAATATCAACCTATTAAAATAAGCCTTTATAAGCTCCAATTCTTTTCCATTAAAATATGCCTGGATAAGCTCCAATACAGATAAATTAAAATATGCATGGATAAACTCCTGGAGATATGATCAGGAAGAAATGTGCCATCTCTATATCAATATTATCTGTCCTTTTTATTGTCTTTTTGCAGATTGTCTGGTTGTATGGTTACAGATGAAGGCTGCTGCTCTCTGGCTTCAGCTCTGAAATCAAACTCCTCCCACCTGAGAGAACTGGATTTGACATATAATGACCCAGGAGAGTCTGGAGTGACACTGCTGTCTGATCTACTGGAGGATCCTCACTGCGCACTGGACACACTGAAGTAAGTGTGTGTCAGCTAGTGGACAGGGCTTTCTGACAAACTGCGATTTTGTTGTTCTGTAATTTATATGCTTGGCTTTGTAGTGGACTGGTAATTTATTTTTGTCCTAAAGTGTGGCAAAATCATGACTGAGTTTTTTGTAACAGATTTTTTAATTGACAGTAGCAAACACACTACATGAAGTCTCTATGAACAATTGTCAGTGATGAAACAAATAAATTTTACATATATCTAGTAATCTATTACAGTCTTGTATGCTGTAAATAACAATTTTATTGCTTTAATTCCCTTTTTTAAGAAAAGGCTTTTGTCCATTAACAGTACAATAATTTTCTGATTTTCTGGAGGAAGGTGCAGTATATCACTACCCTAACCCTGGGTGCATTCCAAATGGCATACTACTATACTATATACTGCATACTGCACCAGTATATAATGTATACTGCACGCTACTCTTCATAATAGTATACAGAAGAGTATTCAGTATACAATATCTGCGTGCCCTACATGTTGGGCATGGGCGCGACTAGACTGACATGCGACTGACTCAATCAGGCTGATCTCAAAACTGCTCCATTTTAATCAGGTCTCCAATCACTGCTTAGCAACCATTACTAGCAGCTTTTTAGCTCTTTTCAGGTCAGGCCTTCAGCAACACATGAGAATAACTCAAAACCAGCCAAAAAAGCAACAGCAGGACAAATTAATTTATATGACACTTTTTGGAGCAAACCAAACCAAAAGACAGTTACATCCTCCCAAAATGGTCATGTTTCAGTATATCATGGAGATAGCCCTGGCCAAATACTGGAATATTTATCCTGATCAGTATATCATCTGAATATGTTTGGTGTACTGGGGAAATTCATGTTGGTCGCATACTGCATACTACTTAACACTTTCGGGCACAATCACACTGATGTTAGCAGAATATACTAGGCTATTTTGAACACAGCCCCTGTTTACTTTTCTGGATATTACTACCCTGGGTACCTAAAGAAAAGGCAGAAATGGTAATAGGAAGACAAAACTGTTCATAAAGCATGTTTTAAACTTGTAATACATTTGAATTAATTCATTAATGTGGCTGTATGTGTGTGCCTTCTTTCTTCTTTAGGGTGGAATACGGAGGGAAGATCAGGATCAACCCAGGACTAAAGAAATGTAAGTTCACTTTGTTCAGTGTGATGTACTCACACACTCTTGACCTTGAAATATTTGTCAGACCTGATGGGACTGCTCACAGTAGGTATGGAGATCATTTTTCAAATATGTGTTCGGCCCAGGGCACTGCCCCAGTTTCACTCTTTAACAGATTTTACCCTGTGTTTCCCTCTGCTTTTAGTTGAATTCTTTAACAATTTCTGCCATGCATTTCCCCCTGCTGTAGTTAATCTCTTTAACAGATTCTACTATACATTACCCCTGCTTTACTTTAACTCTTAAACAGATTTAACTCTGCATATACCCATGCTTTTGTTTATCTCTTAAACAGAGCATACCCTGTATTTCTCCCTGCCTTTGTTCAACTTTTTTAACAGATTTATCATGCATTTCTTCCTACTCTAATTTAACTCAAACAGATTTCACTCCGTATTTCTCTCTGCCGCTGTTTATCTCTGTAACACAGTGGCTTCCCACCTGCTCTTCAGGGCCCTCCAGACAGTTTTTCTACTTAGTACAGTTTAGTAGAGCCAAAAATGTTTATTTTTAATTTGTTTGGCCAAACAGTTTCGGACTAAAACCATCTGGTTCCGAAAAAAAACTGTCAAGCTCAGGTTGGGTTTGAACTCAGGACTTGATGATGTGGTATGGGCAGGCTTGGACTCAGGCTGTATTTGGGTTTGAAGTGACATTTCAGACAAAATTAAAGCTCTAACACACACTGTGTATTCTCCCTCATCTAATCTGTTTCTTTTCAGTTGCCTGTGAGCTCACTCTGGACCCAAACACAATAAACAGTAAACTCACTCTGTCTGAGGCAAACAGAAAGGTGGAATGGGTGAATACATTGAAGAAATGGCCATATCTGGATCATGCAGAAACATTTGATTATTATAATCAGGTTCTGAGTGTGGAGAGTCTGACAGGACGCTGTTACTGGGAGGCTGAGTGGAGTGGGATCAGGGCTGGTATAGCCGTCTCATACAGAGGAATCAACAGGAAAGGAGACAGTGAGGACTGTATGTTTGGATACACTAATCAGTCCTGGAGTCTGTACTGCTATAAAGATGGGTACTCTGTCTGGCACAATTATAAAAGAATTGTTGTACCTGTCCCCCGTTCCCGGTCCCGATCCCGCAGAGTAGGAGTGTATCTGGACTGGGTGGCTGGCACTCTGTCCTTCTACACCATCTCCCCTGACACACACACACTGACACACCTACACACATTCAACACCACATTCACTGAACCACTCTACGCCGGGTTTTGGGTTTGTGATCACTCCTCAGTGCATCTGTGTGTGACACAGAATAGATTCTAAATCCTGGTGGAACATTTAAGCCTACACAGTGGACATTTTCTATTGAAAAAAAGATGGTTCTTCAAGGGTTCTTTAGTAAAAGCAATGGTTCTACTTAGAACTCTTTTTTGCATGGTGAAATGGTTCTTTAGATTGATGTAGAATGTGTTGTGTATAGTTCTATACAAAACCTTTTTGAAAATGGTTCTATATCACATCAAAGGCTTCTGCGATTGTCTCAAAGTCACTGGATGATATATTGTTGCTGTTAGTATTTTTTTAAGGAACATTAACATCCCCTCTCCCCACCACTCTCACCACCACCCGGCACAGGCCTACATACACATATGCCTGCTTATTTTTAAACAAAACTCACACTTGATTGCTTGTAGTAGTCCATCAGTGCTGCTTATAACTTTTATGATGTGATATTATGATTGCTGTTGCATGCATCTGACAGCAAAAGGGTATTTGTTTGTTTCTGCTGTTATTTTTATGATACTGATGTCTAGAATCAGTGCTCTGAGGTAGGACACACTGTTATGGACAAGTATTTCCTTTGCTGTAATTTCTTGACATTTGTTCACTGATTGTTGTCTTGAAATGAGAAATACACATAAAAAATAGAGAGAACTAAATAGGATAACACTTTATTTTGATAGTACACTGTAGGTGGTTTGTAGATGCTCAGTCTGTCTTTAACTTCCAATTGAATGATGTTTCCCATATGTGTCCTTTTTTGAACCCTGCCAACCTTAAAAATACTATGTATGCAACCTGCCTATGAACACCAATCATTACAGTTTAATTTTACTATTAATTTTACCAAAAAGTGTCAAGCAACAACCCAATATCAGAAAAGAAGTTCAGAAAAACAGCATTTTTGGCAGACAATAAGCCTTTATAAATCTTATGTGGATCTATGTCAGTTGTCATGATGAGCTTATGTAGGTGTCATGTAGCCTTGTAAACATCCTCCAGTGAAATGTTACCAATACATCTGTTCTAGAACATGTTTTTGGTCTCTCTAGTCTATTAAACATCCTAAAATGAAACTGACAGAGAAAATGAGCAACAATAAAGGCTGAGCTACACTTCATTTTTGTAAATATGTAAATAATTACTGTGAAACACAATGTGAAAATGCCATTCCTGATCTTCTCTCTTCATATCAATACATGTGTAGATGTAAAGTGAAAAATCTGTGGGTTTTATTGTGTAGGTGTTGGGATGTTTTATAAGTATTTTGTGTGCTTTTCTGAATTGTTGTACTTGTTTATTTTACATTTCCTTTTCCTGGAGTGATGCAAATATAAATGCTGTACACAGGAAAGTGTACAGTATTAAATAAAGTAAAACCCATCTAAACAATTACATGCATTAGAAGTTTTTTATTGTGAGTGCGTCTGTGAGGCTGTTCACACATTGCATTCACACGTATGTCATGTCTAGGTCATAGCTGGATAATCTTACTGCATTACATTTACCCTTTTCACTAAAATGTGTCCCCAGTATGACCAGATGAGATCCCGTCTTACTTTTTTCTTTTCTTAATGTTTGTGATGATGTAAGGTACTCCTTGCACATCACAAATAAAGACTATTGTATATACTTACCTGTACTTACCTGTGGACTGATCATCCTTATCTCTAAGAACTGAAAAGAGAACTGAGTAAGTACTTCTGAGTTTTACTTACCTGGATGAGTCCATTCTCTGTAGAAGGGGAGGTAGGAATAAAACCTGTAAAAGAGAAAGCTGTGTTGATAAGTGTACACCGTAGTTGTAGAAGAAGGCTTATGATGTCATGACTGTGTATATGAACAGTGAGTGGAGATTATGCAATATAATTACTGTTGTATGTAAATTATATGAATATTCAGTACTCTTGTTTTTCCCCATGTTAGTAATGGTTTATTCTAGGGGACGAGCTACCTAGCTGACCTGTATTAAGTTAATATGATTTATATAACTTCGCAGTCATAGATCTATGCTCTCTGGTTGTAGAGATTGTTACTTGTTTTGTTTTTCATATAAAGCGCGCACGTTTGTAAATATGTACACAGCTGTAATTGTCTATGTGTAAATAAAGGTGACGGGGAGAAAAAGATCTCTTGTGCATGCCTAACTTTTAACAGGTCCTGAGACGATTTACCCCACACTACCCATAGAGTGTGCCCCCCTACTACAGCACACTGCAGGGGTTGAGGGACACGCTTCATCACTACGCTACCATCACAATATGTCTTGGGTCTGTTTACACCTGACTTTTAATTCAGTCAAGTGAAATCCGAATTTGGTTTGATACAGTTTTATGTCCAAGAAGTGAGTGAATATAAACTTAACAAGAAAGCTGACCCTCACTCCCCAAATATACAGGTGATTGTTTTTTTGTTTTTTTACTGCAGGTGAATTTGTTGCTGCTACAGAACCTTTTCCAGGGAATGTTTTTGGTTAGGGAGGAGCTCAAGGGCTAGTTGGAAAGGTCTTGTTCTTGTTCCAGGCATATTTCTGTTTCCCAAACAGATCTAACAAGATTTAACATTAAATCAGACGTTTGTTTTAGCAAATTTTGGACCAAAAAGAAGGAAGTAACCCCAGTCTTTTATGTCTTTTAAACAATCCTTTGTCTTATTAAGTTCATAATCCAGTTTGGCCAATATATACAATTGTGTGTCAGTGGCACAGCAGTGGATGCCATGTTTACGGATAATAACACAGAGTAGTAACATATATAATGCACATAGTAGAGATACTGAAACAGAACCCTGTGCAACACCATTTTACTTTTTCAAGTGCGGATGCTTCACCATTTGCATTTGCATTTATGATTGTCATCAGTCAGTTAGAATTCATGTATGTGATTCCTAAGCCAGTATGAACTTACCTGTTGTACCACAGCTTTCTCAAAATAATCCAAAGAAAACCACTCTTTTGCTCTACTGATGCAAAGCCCCAACTTCAAGACCTCCAATATCCTCACAGTTCCAAAGAAGGAATATATAACCAGCCTTACAAGCCAGTAGCCTTCACATCATAAAATTATTTGAATGATTCTAGATGGTTCTAACTTATCACAAGATCATCGCTGAGCCCTTTCTTGATCCACTACAGTTTGCCTACCAAGCAAATATTCAACAGGTAACGCTGTCAACCTCAGCCTCAGTTATCTCCAGGCTCCTAGGCCAGTTACTAATGTACTCTGTTAACACTGTATACTGTAATCAGTCTCTCTTAACAGAACTAACTGTGTGTGTGTGTGTGTTTCTTTGCCGAGCTAAACAACTGCCCATCCTGTGAGGTCTGATGCTGTTGTTCCATCTGCCCTGTTTGTGTGCCCACTGCTCATCCGCCTTCTGGACCAGTATGACCACCATGGAGCTTCCTACTGTACAATACTGTGCAAACCTCACCTGTATGAACTGACCCTCCTGATGATGCTGTTGCTGCACAGTCTCAAACTATTTAATCACAGACATTGCTTCACCTGCTCTGTATTTTTGATATTGTATACTAGTGTTAAAACCTTATTCTCTGTTCATTTTGGGCCTCATTCACCAATATTTTCCTTTTTTTTTTAAATATGTTCTTGAGAAAGGTCCTAAGAAAAAGTCTCCATCAGATTCATGTCTTGCTCTTAAAGCGCAGAACTGTTCTCACCTTTGTGCTCTTGAGTGTGTGTAGATTCTGATCTTACCTAAGAACAAATCCCTAATAAGAAAACACTGAATGTCAGAATCTTTGTAAAAAACTGAGGGTGGGTTTTAAGAAGAAACATCTTCTTAAGAACAGTTGGTGAAATGAGGCAAAATGTTTTTGTTTTGCTGTCTGGTGTCAACCAGAGGAGGATGGGTTCCCCTTTTGAGTCTTGGTTCCTCTCAGTGTTTCTTCCTCTTGCTCTTAGGGACTTTTTCCTTGCCACTGTTGCCATTGATAACGCTCATGGAGGCTCGAACCCAGATTTTTCTGTAAAGCTTCTTTGTGACAACGCCTGTTGTAACAAGCACTTTATTGACTATTTTTAGACTTAAGCTCTTCTTTCAGTTGAATGAGTATTATGTTTCAAATATATTAACTGGGACACGTTCATTCTGCGCAAAGTTGCAAAAGTTGCTGAAATCCATTCAGTGATGCTTCTTGCTCTGTAAATGGTGCTGTTGTCACCCTGAAAGCAACCACTTCCATCAGGACAGAAATGTTGTACTATAGGATAATGACAAATCAATCAGAAAACTTTTGATTTGCAGACAGCTTTCTATTAGCGGACAGTATACAATCTGCCCCATGTTACAAAAGTATATTTTAGGATTTTGTTGTAAAATATTAGTTTCTAAATGTAACATTCAACAAAATCAAATTAAATATTGTAATATTATTGGTAACATACATAAAAAGATGACCTGAACTGTACTGCGATGGAATCATCTGGAGAAACAAGGTGTAGTTTTCTAGGGAATATGCCGTAAACCTTTAGCTTTGGGGTGTGTGCATACATATTAATTACAGTGATATGCATAGCATTATTATTATTATTATTAACAACAACATAGGAAAATAAGTAGGATCTCGATGCAGCAGAGAATAACAATTTTTTTATTATATATCGATATACGGTTGAAACAATTATCCAAAAAACTTAAAAATAAAGAGGTTAGGTGCTCATTTTGAGGGAATGACACCATAATAGCATGTCATTTTTAAAATAAATTTAGCATATTTATTTTAGATTTTGTAATAAAAAACACTCACATACAGCTAATCCTAAATTACAATATCACTAATAATTAAAAAACAATTTCACTTAAAGGCATAGAACCTTTTTGAAAATGGTTTTATATAGCATCAAAAAGGCTTCTTCTATTCTTACGATGTCAAGCTTATAACAATGGAAGAATCCTTTGTTTTGTATGTAGTTCCATATAGAACCAATTACAACACATTCTCCATCACTCTGAAGAACCATTTCACCATACAAAGAACCATTTATGCATGAATTGGTTCTATATAGAACTCCTGGTTCTAAACCCAACCCTTCTCTTTACTAGATAACCCTTGAAGAACCATCTTTTAAGTGTGTAGAGAAAGTCAGGACCTCTTGTTAACAACTACCTTCATTAGAAGATGTTTAACAAAATAACTATGAAAAACAGATGATTCTTGTTAACCTAAAGAAAATAATAGAGAAAAATTATGGTGACAAACACACATCACAAGTTTCTTCCTTCTTCTTAACACATTTGTGTGACTTTAAAGTACTTGAATGCCTGAAACTGCGCCCACATTCGGAGCAGTAATACGGCATCTCTCCTGTGTGAATGCGCTGGTGTCTTCGGAGATTAGTCTGTCGGTTAAAGTTCTTCCCGCACTCTGAACAGTGATACTGTTTTTCTCCTATGTGAATTTGCAGGTGTACATGGAGGTGACTCTGCTGGTTAAAGCTCCTTCCACACTCTGGGCAGTGATATGGTTTCTCTCCTGTGTGAATCCGTTGGTGTAGCCGGAGATGACCCTGTTGACTAAAACTCTTTCCACATGTTGTGCAGTCATACGGCTTCTCTCTTGTGTGAATGCGCCGGTGTATCCGAAGACTCGTCCGCTGATTAAAACATTTCCCACATGCTGAGCAGGAATACGGCCTCTCTCCTGTGTGAATGCGCTGATGGATGCGAAGACTAGTGTGTTGATTAAAACATTTCCCGCACACTGGACAGTCATATGGTCTCTCTCCTGTGTGAATGCGCTGGTGTATATGGAGACTATTCTGAAGAGTAAAATTTTTCCCACATACCGAGCAGTAGTACGGTTTCTCTGAGTGAATACGCTTGTGTCTTTGGAGATTATACTGTAAAGTAAAACTCTTTCCACACTCTGAACAGCGGTGAGTTCTCTCCTTGCCTGTATTCGACTGCATTTGTCTCTGAAGCATATCAGCGTGGAAAACACCAGAGGACATTTGCTCGGTAATGGAGCTTATTCTGGATGCCATATCCTCAGTTTTAATCTCTCCTGATTTCAGCATTGAATTCTTCTCAACACCATATCCTGATGTGTTTGTGCAAGTTAATTTGAGTTCTGAAGGAAAGTGGACAGCAGGAGCAGGAGACGGCTTGCAACAAGACATCGTTCTTTTCTGAAAAAGAAAAAAATATTCAAAACTTAAAGCAAAATGAATCAGAAGTATTACATAAACCTTGTTAAACTGCACCTTACATTCACCATGTATGAGACATTAAAAAAAATATAAATAAATAAATAAAACAAATTCAGTGGTTCTCACTCCCTGTTAGGGGCTCTAAATAATTTACTCAGGAAGGGGTCAAGTTGAAAAAAAATTATGTTAATTCAGCTATAGGGTTTACAAGGCTATTTTATAGACCTAGGAAACTTAGTTATAGCAAATTTTGTCCAGTTCAGTGAAAAAACCCAAAATCAAGTCTCAAAATCTGTGTTCACAAAAGTACCGACAAGTCAATCAATTGGCTCTCAACTTTCAAATTACTCTATTAGAGAAGTCAATATCTCACCTTGGCTCCAGGGGTCTGAAGACTAAAGAAGAAGTCAGGAACCTGAGTGTACTAATGGATTCAGACCCCAATTTCAGCTGCCATATCAGATCAATAAAAATCAGCTCTTTATCATCTCAAAAATATATCAACACTTTCACCTCAAAACAGGAGCTAGAGATATTAATCCATGCCTTTATCTTCAGCTGATTGGTCTACTTCAACAGGCTGTTCACTGGTCTTCCCAAAAAACGTTTGACGGCTGCAGCTTATTCAAAATGCAGCAGCTACAATACTCACTAAGACAAAGAGAACTGAGCATATCACCCCAGCATTAAGATGTCTACACTGGCAGTCAAATTTCTTGTATACTTCTAGAAATTCAGTTGTGTGTAAGTGTAATACGTGATACAACATCATTCATGACCATCTCTGTTGAAATACAACACCTTGTACCACATAACATACATAAACATGTAGGTTTTGTGTTATGATAGTTTTGAGAATGTTTTGGCATAAAACAAATCAATCAATTCATGGTGGAGGAATACACAACAGTTCCCAAAGAAAACTTTTCAGATTTTCCACTATTTTCTCATCGTCAACATTCCATACACATTCAGAAGCCAATTTGGCATTTCAATCCAAAAGCTGTTAAATTTTGCTTTTATTCAGCATTGATAACCTCTTGTTTCTCCTTTTTTGACAGTCAGTCAAACATAACATCCACCACGTAACACAAAACAGAAAAAAATATATATATTATTTATTATAACTGTTTTTAAACTGATGTTTAAAAGTTCCAAGCTTGATGACAGCAGCCAGTTTAGCCTTAAATATTCCTTCGGCTCAGGAAGTTTGGCCTGCCTCCTGACATCCTCACCAGCTTCTACAGATGCACCACAGAGAGCTTCCTCACGGGCTGCATCACTGTTTGGTACAGCAGCTACAACACCTGCGACCGTAAGGCCCTTAAAAGAGTGGTGAGGACGGCAGAAGCCATCATAGGCAACAAACTACCAGCCTTACAGGACGTCTATCAGTCCCGCTGCCTCAGGAAGATCAAACAGGTCCGGTCAGACAGCGTCACCCAGCACACGGCCTGTTCACCATCCTGCCATCAGGCAGGAGATTCCGCAGCATACAGGCCAGAACAACCCGGCTAATGAACAGGTTCTACCCACAGGCTGTCAGGCTTCTGAACAAGCTGTGAAGCTGTGGGTCCTTCCCCAACTACCAGTCACTTTGTCAGTATTATTTATTATATCATATACAATAGGTCCCTCTTGTCCCTGCATATTTTGTGTATATTTTCAGTATATTTTTTATATTTCGGTTATTTAGTATATCTTTGTTTTGGTTTGTTTTGTCTGCACTGCTCTTAGTATGTATGTAATGCTGTCCTGCTTTTCAACGCATGAATGTCCTGACATGTTGTGCAAAAGACAAATCAACTTGAAACCTGAAATATTCCCCTCAGTCCAAGTTCAGTGTTATTGAGCTATAAATCCCATTGTTTTTTGCACAAAAATGTAAAAAAAAAAAAATTATCAGTGAGGTAGAAAAATGTTTTTTTTTTTGGTAAGAGCATTATGTATAAAAACTAAGGAAGACAAAAAACTGAATTATCTACATAAAAACATTCAAATTTGCATGTTCATTTGGCACAGCCCACTCAGCTAAATCAAGAATTCAGTCGAGAGCCCTACATTTTCTGCATCCTCATCTCTCCGTTCATCTCTCCAGGGCTCAGTGAAAACCTCTGTGTAAAGGTGAAGAGGTGTTTAGAGGCTCCTTACCTTCAGCACTGCAGCTCCAGCAGGCCTGCGCTGCTGAGCACATCTTCTTCTCCACTCTGGAGGGACTGGAGAACCACAGAGAGGGAACTAGCGCCACCACGTGATCCGGGGGCGCCAGCTTCAGCCCCACCCATATTCCGACAAACCCCGCCTCCTGCGGAGACTCCGCAACACGATTAGGTTTAAATGACCATGTTAAATATTACAGGGATACCCAATCCTGGTCCTGGAGATCTACCACCCTTCAGAGTTTAGCCCCAGCCCTAATTCAACACACCTGAACCAGATAATGAAAGTATTTAAGGGCATCTGAACATTAGAGCCAGGTGAGCTGCATTTAACCTCTCCAGGGTGGTAGATCTCCAGGACCAAGGATTGGACACCCCTGATATATTACATATAACAGACTAGCTCTGAACACATCCAACAGAGAGCAGGTTTAAATAATCTAGTTTATTCATTAACTATAAAGTGTAATTATAGCTACATCGGTGCCAAACAGACATCATAATTTTGTTTTTTTTCATGTCAGGATTTTTTCTTCCTCAGTTTTGATTATATCGCATTTTACCAATGATAAATTAAATAGCAGTACTGGGTTCTGGGCGCTAGATGGCGTCACTGGCCTGTGATATATTTTTGTCTGAAAAGAAATGCAAGACTAATGCAAATTAATTCCTCAACAAATATAGCTGAAATATACTGTATGTCTAGCATGCATTTCCCCTATAGCAGTCTACATTCTTGACTGATATAAAATAACCTTTACAATCTTATTATTTAAGTCCGTATGGAAATCTGATATATGGCCATATATCCACATGTATCACAACGGGTCAGCGTTACATATAATAAATTATATGCATATATGTGTTCTGTGCAAATATTTAAGTATCAAATGTTGTACATATGTGCTTAAAATATGGATTATACATAAACATGTCTGATGTTTGTGAACACGTATATGTATAATGTTTGGAGCCACAGTAATAATTGTTACTACATTATCTGTTTTCTTTTCAATATTAAATTATTTAAATGTTTCAGTGAACAATTCATTTCATGTTAAATGATTTAACTGCATTCTGCAATTCACTTCATTAAAATGTATGTGGAAGAAACAAAAGAAAAAAAGGACGTCTAAATATTCTTATTTAAAAAGTATTTCATATCTCTTGAGCTATTTACATTCATATCCACATTTTTAGTCTTATCCCTACATGAATCATGTTTTTTATCATATACTGTTAAATATGTGTTACACGAATATGTTTGAAAATGCTAATAAATGGCTAAAAAATATGTCCCATATTTAAAAATAGCCAATTTAAAATAAGTTGGTATATATGTCACATATATGTCCTATGTGACTAATATTAGTTGGATATATAAGGGAAATCCATATATGCTAATAAATGTCATATATTTGAAACCTGTATTGCCATATACGATTTCTGTCTGGCAGTTCAAATGAAAAAAGGACTTTGAATTAACATAATACTAATACTACTACTACTACTAATAATAATAATAATAATAATAATAATGTATGAGGGGTGCGTGCTGAGTTCGCCCCCCCCCCATCCCAAAAATAACGGATTTTCCCGCCCAATTTTATCTCATATTTATACAGACAAACCAGCAGCTCCCTTTAAATAATGTTAGAAAGCAACACGACTTTACTGAGGTGAGTAATATCTAATGACATATTTTATATCAAACAATATAACATTGCATATAATATTAATATATTTTATGCGATGCACAAGTTTGACTGTAAAATTAGCTACTGCTAACTTATAACGCTTGAAAACTGCTGCCTAGCTAACTAACTAACTTAGCTAAAGTCTGTCAGAAGCTGCTAAAGCCTTTAGAACAAATAAGCTGCCTAAGTACATATTTACATATTCAGTAATGCCAACATACAGCTCAATGTTTAACCCCTTTTAACAATATATTAGCAATATTGCTTTTTTTTCTGTGATTAAAACCGTTAGCTAGCTAACGCTAGCTAGCTAACGGCTTTAGCTAGCTAGCAGTTCAGCCAATATTATCCTGAAAAGGTAGCTAAGCTAACAAAGCCTGATCTATAAAATTAACCCAGGATATGCTTCAAAACAGGTTTTATCATATCTCCCCTCATCAGGTGTAAATAAGGAAGCTATACAACGTTATATAATATTTATTTTGTTCTGTTTTGTATGCTAACGTTAGCAATAAGCACAGCTTGCGAACCTTAGTTTACTAAGATTGAGCTCCGGAAGTTAGCTGGTAATTTTAGGAACTTTTCTGGTCATAAGTTAACTAATTATTAGAATACACTCTTTTCTCTCTGTATTCGACCACAGTAGGTGGTTTTGTCATGTTTGTCAATGTAAAGTTATCTATTGGTTTGCGTAAGTGTTAGCTTCCGGTGCTCTCTTCCCTCTGATGTGTATTCAAGGTCACCGGCTTCATAATTCCTGTACAGTTGGTTTGTATGGCCACAGTAATTTGTCCAAATGAGGGTAACACCAGAGAAATATCCTTGCCATATGGGCTTGTATTCTAGTTTTTATTGACAGTAGTTAAAACTGCGTTTGTGTCAGTAATTAAGGCCGAATCTCAAACGGCTCTGTGCTCCCTATGTAGTGCAGTATGTAGGTTATGAAATAACAGCTTCTGCACGCAAGTACTGCATTATATGTGTAATATAAAGCCATTTATATTTAGCCATGAGCCGCACTGCTTCCTATGTAGAACATTTAGTTCACTGTGTATGGGTGTAGAAGCCATAGTTTCATGACCTACACTGTGCACTATATAGGGACCACTAACCCACGTTTCCCACATAAGGGGAGCCTCTTATGTGGGAAACGGGCAGCCTGGGCGGGGCCACTGTCAATCAACATATGCTGCCTGCCAATCACAGTGTGCATTCGCCACTTACATAAACTACTTTATCCATCATTTCAGGCCCTGGCCACTCATCAAATAATGTATGGCAATGTTATTTCTGGATTGGGCCTGTTTTGCTAGCCTGAATCACTCTGTTTACATCCCACACAGTGAATTATGAGGGAATTTTGAAAAATCAGTTGAACACTTTAAGCATCACCCACTGCTTTCTCAGACCTGCAGCATTTGCACTGATAGTGTACTTCTAATATTATAAATAATATTAACAATATAGCCCTTTTGGTTGTACATTAGGAGGGTGTTATTGAGCACAATAATGTAGCATTTTGAAAACCACTGATGCATATTGATGCCGTTTCAGCAAGAATACTGGAGGTTTCTGACTGCAGCAGACCAAGGAGAGCAGTGGAGGAGCACCTCCAGTTTTGAGTCATCTATTATGGCTGCTGATGTTGCTCCACATTTTCAGGTAAAAGGTTAGTTTTTAATTTTTTTTTTAATAACTTTATTTGGATAGCCTCCTACAGAACTTACAGATGTTCAAATTATTAACACTCTGAATGTGATTCTCAGCAGTGTTTGGATTAATGTGAGGGTTATGGTTAAGAACACTGTGGGGGGGATTCAATAGATATTTGGTTTAAGATAAAGGCAAAATAAGTGTCTACAAAAAATCCAGATTGGGCTATTTAAATCAAGTGCTAACAAACCATATATTTCTATAATATTAGTGTCAATGCTATTTAACAATATCAGTTATAATAAGTTCTAACTGTGAATACAGATAAAACACATTATTATTACTATTATTATTATTTTTCTCTAGTTTGTTTATTTACTAAACCGGAAGATAAGCTGCCAGATCTCCTATTTGGACAAAATATTTTTATGCTCTTCTATAAAACCCTGCTATACCATTGTTTAGAGAATTTCAAGAGTAAACATCCACCTGATGAGTTATCTGAAATGTGTTCTCTATGATTAACCACCTGTATTAATGTACTACAAGTTATTGCAATATGTGCAATATTTTCTTGATTAGAAGCAATTACATTATTTCCCATAAGGGCCCTATGTGGTATTTCTAAACTTGTTTGGTACATATGTGAACCCTACATGGACATGGTGGCTGAATTGCTTCTGTCTCTATGAGAAGTAGAAGAAAAATTCATAACATTTCAAAATGTTTGATATCTGAGTGATGAATCATTGTCCCATATCATCAGTTACAATTAGATTTTTTTTTTTATAAGGAACTGTATACACGTTTGAGCACTTTTGGTTCCTCAGACCTGTCTCAATTCAGAAAATTACACTATATGGACAAAAGTATTGGGACACCTACACATTACACTTACGTGAGCTTTTATGAATCCCATTCTAAATCCATAGGCATTGATACGAAGAATCTTTCTACAAGATTTTGGAGTGTGTCTCTGGGAATTTGTGTCCATTCATCCAGAAGAGCATTTGTGAGGGCCAGTCAAGTTCTTCCACACCAAACTCACCCAGTCAGGCCTTTATGGACCTTGCTTTGTGCACCAGGGCTCAGTCATGCTGGAACAGAAAAGGTTCTTCCCCAAACTGGTCCCACAAAGTTGGAAGCGTACAATTGTCCAAAATGTCTTGTTCTGCTGAAGCATTAAGATTTCCCTTCACTGGAACTAAGGGTTCTAGACCAACCCCTGAAAAACAACCCCATATCATCATCCCTCCTCCACCAACTCTACAGCTGGTACAGTGCAGTCAGGCAGGTAACGTTTTCCTGGTATTTGCCAAACCCAGACTCGTCCATCAGACTAACAGATAGAGAAGATGATTCATCACTCCACAGAATACATTCCCACTGCTCCAGAGTCCAGTGACGGCGCTTTACTCCACTCCAGCCGACACTTGGCATTGTGTTTGGTGATGTAAGGCTTGCATGCAGCTGCTTGGCCATGGAAACCCTGCCATGAAGCTCCCGGTGCAGTTCTTGTGCTGATGTTGATGCCAGAGGAGGTTTGAACTCTGCAGTTATTGATCAGCAGAGCGTAGGTGACTTTTATGATCTGTGCTCCTCAGCACTCGGCGACCCGCTATGTAACTTTACGTGGTCTGACACTTCGTGGCCGAGTTGCTGTGGTTCCTAAACACTTCCACTTTTCAACAATACATTCACAGTTGATCGTGGAATATCGTGGAGAAGAAATTTCATGAACTGACTTGTTACAGTGGTGGCACCTAGTACAGCACCACGCTTGAGATCTTTAAACCGATTCTTTCAAAAATGTTTGCAAAGGCAAGCTGCATGAGTAGGTGCTTGATTTTACACACCTGTGATAATGAGACTGAATGAAACACCTGAATTCAATGATTATGATGTGTGTCCCTATACATTTGTCCATATAGTGTCCATATAGTAAATGACCAGTGTTGAGTAGATGTATTTGTGTATTTGAGTAGATGTGTTTCTGGCAAACAGTGGAGAAATACACACCTCTTCACAAGCCTGGGGATCTTCTTGCTGGTAAGTGTGAGTGCAAAACAGAAATTTGTGTGGCATTTGTAAAAAGCAGGAGGTTTCAATTTTTTTCACCACTTTTTGTTTTCTGTTACTTTTGCATCAAAATTATCTGGAGAACTAATAGAACCAGTAACAAAAGCTGAAAAGAGTTCAATTCACAAGTCCAGTCCTGGGGACCCCATGCATGAACAGTTTAAATCTAGCCCTGCCCTAACAAATCAGCTACATCAGCTGAGTAAGGTTTATTTTAGCTCAACAGCTAATTAACAAGCCTTTCATGAGCTGGATCACCAAATCTGAAACTGTTTAGGTAGGAGATCCCATTATCTGGAGTATAAATACAATAGAGATAATATCCTGTGACCTATATACTTTTCATTACATAAATAAAAATATGAGTTTTAAAATTAGAATTTCAAATAGTTTTTAACAAGAGATAAAATTAGTTTAAATTAAGCTGTATATTCACAGGACAGGGTATATAAATTATTAAACACAGAATATAGATAAAAAAATATTAGCAACTTACAAATAACAATGATGTCATTTTGAAGAAATAATATGAATAAAACAGATTTGTTAATTTCCTTCAGCATGCCTTTGTACTTTGTCATAAGTTTACAATTAACAATAATAAATAATAAATAATAAATTAACAACTTATACAACTAGCCAAGCCAGCTAGTTAAATATCTTGGTCACAAGCAATGCAAAAACAAATGTTTTCATTTACTTAAAGGTAAATATTAGAAAATAAATAAAAACATGCAAAAAATAAATGTATATACAAACTCTATTTGTATGTATAGTCAATACAGAAAATCTTTGATAACAAAAAAGGGTCAATTGTACCAAATTGTTGCTGTCAGATTTATTGAAGGAACTTATCTGGCAGGAATAATTTTATGATGATTAAAATAATTAATGATTCACCAAAATAGAACAAAATAGAAATAAAAAATTTCACCCTATACTCTTTACTAGTGCCGCTTTCAGCCATCTATCCTAACAAATAAAAAACCTGCAGAGTTTCACCATAATGGCCAACACTATGAATATTTTTGACCTTGCTGTCTATTTTACTTTAAAGTAAAATAAACCTTGCAGTCTTAAGGTATAACAATCACAATCAGTACAGACAAATGGATCATTTGAGAGATCAGGATCTTTTTCTAACAATATTAACAGTTGCTTTCATTAGAAACCATTTAGTACTTAATCACAAAGGTAGCAGGAAACATTCACATTCACCTAAAAATACTAAATGGAAATTAGGATTGTCAAAAAGCTTTAATATTTTCCAAGATAAAATAAAAAAGAACATTACAGTGTAAAAATGTCCATCTAAATATTCAAACGTTACTTACATTACTTACAATATATTTTTTATGTAGTCACGTAATGATTCAGCCTCTTCTCCTTTCTAATGACTTTGCTGTCACACACTGAGAAACATCCCATTTGGGCAGAAATGTTTAATTAGTGAAACTTAGCTGTGTTGCAACTTTAGAAACTGGACAATCATATACATTCACCCACAAGAATTACAGTTTGCATTGTGTAACAAAGGGCTGTTGTTTCGTCCCACTACTTCTGATTTAAGGCTCTACAATCATTATGAAAACATCAAGACGACTGTGATGAGCTACTTAAAAACAGGACAATAACAAAGTATGTGTACTTAATTTTATGTCCTACTTTTTACTCCACTATTTTCTGCAAAATACTGTGAAGTAAAAAATAGATTTTGCGTAATAAATAAAAGAATGACACACTTTCACAAATAGATCAAACAAGTCATAGTGCAACTATCACTAAGTCTCTCCTAAAAACTCAATGGTCAGTTGTAGCTTTGCAAACTTAAATTTTACACATTTCCAAAACTGAAGACAAAGAAATGCTGGATTGTTAGAACATCTCACAGTAGTTTTACTTTTGACGCTTAAACAAGTATAACCTGTGTAGTTTAACGTAAGTGAAAAAATATATATGGGGCTTTTACTTGAGCAATTTTACAATCTTGCAAAAGGAGCTCTTCTTTCACTCAAGCACTGGATATCTGTAATTTGTCCACCACTGCTAGCTACAAAATGCTAATAAACCATATGTGCTTTATTTTTATTGTGTTGAACATTTGTTTAAAAACTTAAATTTGATACAAATCTTTTGATGCTTAATATTTATGCTCAGCACTCTATAATATTATGTCATAATATTGAGGTAAGTTTGCATCTTTAAAAATAAATGTAAAATTTGGAAAGTACTTAAAATTTTGAAAGAAAAGGTAAACTTGTAATTTACTTCATGAGTTCAGCTGACAGTCCTAAAGAAAAGGATTTTTAGAGTTCTTCGATTTGACATTTGCCATATGAGTTTTCACCTCATTCTTAATGCATTTGTGTGTCTTTAAAGTATTTGAATGCCTGAATCTCTTTCCACACTCTGAGCAGTGATATGGTTTCTCCATTTTGTGAATCAGCTGATGTTTTTTGAGGGTACTTCCATCTCTGAAACTCTTCCCACAGTCTGAACAATAGTACGGCTTCTCTCCTGTGTGAATGCGCTGGTGTCGTTGGAGATTCCCACTGTCTCTGAAACTCTTCCCACACTCCGAGCAGTAATATGGTTTCTCTCCGGTGTGAATGCGCTGGTGTCGTTGGAGATGGGCCTGTAGAGTAAACCTTTCCCCACACTCTGAGCAGTGATACGGTTTCTCTCCTGTGTGAACGCGCTGGTGTTTTTGTAAAGTATTCTGTAGACTAAAATTCTTCCCACACTCTGTGCAGTGATACGGTTTCTCTCCTGTGTGAATCCGCTGGTGATTTATGAGATCGCGACTGTCTCTAAAGCTCTTTCCACAATCTGAACAGCAGTGTGGTTTATCTCCTGTGTGAATGCGCTGGTGTCGCTGGAGATGACTCTGCTGAATAAAGCGCTTTCCACAATCTAAACAAGGATACGGTTTATCTCCTGTGTGAATGCGCTGGTGTATTCTGAGATAACTCTGTAGAGCAAATCGCTTCCCACAGTCTGAGCAGTGGGTCTCTTTGCCTGCACCTGTATTGGAGCTTCTTCTGGAAGCCATATTTAAAATTAGAATGACTTTATTGGCCGAGCACAATTGCTTGTACGAGGAATTTGTCTAGATGCAACTGGTGCATGTTTGCATATTTAACCCGTTCTTATTTCACCAGTGAATTCCTCTTGGTGACATCTCTTGATATGTCTGTGCAGGTGAATTTAAACTGTGCAGGGAAGTGGACAGTAGGCGCAGGAGAAGACTTGTAACAGGACATCATTCATTTCTGGTGGAGAAAAAAACATTCAATGTGAAATGCAACAAATGTATGACAATTGTAGAGGATTTTACCCAACATAAACAATGTTCGGTGCCTTTTAGATTGAACGAAGAAGTAAACATTATGATTAAACAGACAATATTAAAACAAACAAAAATCTAATTCAGTGTATCTCCATCCCTGTAATACACGGTTTTAGTAGGCAACAAGAGTTGTTTGCTGTACCAATTTTGTGTGGATGAGTGATGACAAAGAAATTGAGAATCAATCAAGTTTTTATTGTTAATTCCAATTAAGTACAACAGGCTATTATATACATCCTTCTACGTCTTTGTTTCCAATTAACATTCCTGAACAGCACACCTGACTGTGTCTACACAGTAATTGTTGTGTTTCTTCAGTATTAGTACAGGTGGGAATTTCACAAAGCGCCCGATAACAAAAAAAGCTTGTCCAAAAGGAGAGGAGCTAAGAAACATTCCTATTGGACCTGTTGGATAAGACTTTATCCTATTGATAAGATATCCAGCGTACTGATAAATCCTCCTTCAAGAAATACCTCTCCAGGGCACAATATGCTTCCCCCTTTCCTCTACAATAACGTGCCCTATACTTGGTCCTAGATATCCAATTCTGCACGTTAATGCTGTCCCTGCTCTGACACACCGACTTCAACTCAGTAAGAATTGTTTAATGATCTGATTAGTTTGATCAGGTATGTTGGAAAAAGGAAAACATTAAGATTCACAAATAAGGGTTCCCAGGTCCTAGAGATCTACCCAGCTTCAACCACAATCTTCTACATCTGAATTAACTTATTAACATCAGAAGTCCTTATTTGGTTGCATGTTTAATGTAGGTAAGAACTAAACTCTGGAAAAAAAGCTGATCTCCAGAACCAGGGTTGGTGGCCACAGCTCCAGAATATAGAGCAGTACTGGGTCCATCGTTTAGTGCTGACATGCAAAGAACAACTCCTTTTCTGAGCTAAGAGGAATCAACACACAAGGAAGCAGCAACTTATGATTGCGTGGTAAACCAATGGCAGTTCAACAATAATGCAAATTTACTTTTTTTTCTTTTTTATGAATATGTTCTGCCTTTTAATGACTGAGTTCTTTTCTTAAATCCGTGGATATGTTTCTTGTGGCAAAACTGTTGTCCTGATGCGCTCACATTGTTGAAGGATCTTGGCATGTCCCTGGGTGAGATGACAGTAGAAGTTTGCCACTTTTTGGTGTGTGGCAGTCTTTCATCAAAATTTATCAGCTGAACTGTCACCTTCTTGGCTTGCTCTATCACTTGGCTCATTATCTTGTCATGCTGATGCTCTTCAACAGCCTTTGAATCTTTACCTCCCTTGAGGAATGTTGAGCAAGCATAGCAATTAATACTACCTGTCACATTTCACCTGCCAGTAACACCTGCTCATCTACATTATGAAAAATTCACTCAACATATGATTTTTCGTACTGGCAGAGGACTGCTTTGTTTAGGTCAGGCCAGTCTAGCCATATACATAATGACCCATTCTTCTCTGTGACAACAGTACTGTACAGCAGGTGGGCTCAGTGATGTGCGCACAGCGACATGGGCTATGATTGCGCCTTCTATCATCCCATTCAACAAGTCTGTCCATTACCACAAGGGGAGTTTTGGGGAGTTCTGGCTGCTTGGTGGAACATCTGTAAATGTGGTGATCACTAGGAAACTGCCCCAAATCTTCAAATACTAAGAGGTACCTAGCTATTAGCTTCGCTTTTGTGGTTGAGACTTTTAATCTCAATAAACATATTTACATAATAGGCTGATTAAGTGCTTAGTTGGTCTAAGAAACTGAACCTATCCAGGATGTTAACAAGAGTTGTATAAAAGTCCATTCATAATTCTATTTCCTGGCACATCAGTATAGTCTGACTTAAAAACACAGATGTTTATCCAAGATGTGTTTCCACCCATTTAAAACACTGGTGCCATTCTTTCTTCTTCTATTCAAAGTGTCTATTTCTGGCAAAACATGAGGGACATCTCTACTTCTCTGCAAAGGTGCAGCCTTCTTGTTTTTTGTCACTCATAACGGTTATTACATAAATGGTACTAATGTAAAAAAACAGCAAAATGTTTACATCTCTAATAAACCATCCAATACATGTGTATCATATATTTTAGTTTTTATGTAGTTTAGATTTTAAGCTCTTTTTCCACAAGTAAAGCTTTAGGTGATCTGCACCTAAGATGGTGACAATGTCTCAAAACTTCAATGCAAATTCTGACAAGGTATTACTAACTGGTGCACAGATGCAACTGTGACGTTCCACCTCATGGTTCCCCACTGCATGATGCCAAAGTTTCATGATAAGGCATAAAATAATATTTCACAAAACATTGATTAAAATAGAGCTCTTCTTTCTATCTGTCCTAAGGAATGAAAAACACCAAGATAGTCACACAGAATAGTGGACTCTGCATCCTTGACGTTTTGGGGTGAAGTACAACATATCACTCTGTTCTTCAATCTGACCAGCCCATCTACTCCAAAAAGTAAGTAGGCACTGTGCTGAAGCTAAGCAGCATCGCAAGTTGTTTGGTCAAGCCTCAGGGACACCATTTTCTTTGATGAATTACACACCATTATATCCTTCAAGCTAAAGTCACAAGAAAATAAAAGATACAACTAGAACTTAAGGCATAATAAATCACACAGTCATTACAGATGGGGGAAAAAAAAAGATTACAAGCGAGATTACAATCTCTTCCTTACAACAGAAACCATTAGGCCTTAATTGTAAAATTCAGGTTACATCATTCATGTTCACCTAAACAACAAACTGAATAAATACAGGGCTGTCCAAAATTGTCCATCCAAATGTTTAAACAGAAATAGTTCATTCACTGACAGGCGTGAGGGAAAAGGATCTAATTTGGTGACAAAGGTCCCAATGACAACTTGACATTCAACTCTTACTCAGATGTGCGCAAAAACACCGTCCACCAAAAATCAAGGGACAGATTTGCTTCCAGGTGAACTTTGGTTCAGTTTACTGGTTGAAACATCTTTTATAGTTGCTTTCACCAAAATGAGGATGTGCAACATCAAAGCATCATTTTTTTTCCCTTCTACCAGTACATCAGTGCCTTATTGTCCATATAATCTGCCTGTTTTAACTTTTGACTTATTGTCAGTGCAGTACAAGCTGTTGCTAATGGCAGACAAGCAATAAAATAATAGCAAGGCAATGCATTTGACATACATTTTGGCACATGGACCACCGAATATATTCTTGATAAGTGGGGCCAACTATGAACAAGTGATGAAGTACTGACCAAGTAAGGTTTACTTTTAATGCTTTGTTGGCCTATTGGCCTAGTCATGGCCTTTGTATCAAATCATTAAACACCCATATGTACAAACTAGTGTATTATTAATGGTTGCAACAAGAAACAAATCAAACTAAAATTAAGATACAAAAATACAAATTTCAAACTTTAGTAAATAGAACTTTTAGAGGGCTTTTATTTTGTTGCATCTTGAAACATAATTATGATAATACATTTGAATGTACAGGGAGATTCACTCAAAAAAGGCCCCAAATATTCTGTAATGACTCTCTCTAGGACAAAGCAATCTGAACAAAACAACATGCAATGTGCTTCCCGGTATATTGAGCTTCGAACAAGCCGGGATGCCCCTGCATTGGAGCGATGAGGTAGGCGCAGGACAGCCGTCACAATGTTTAACTTCTGTTTGCATGGGTGCATACCCCCATACCCCTTCAAGTATCTGGAGATCACTTCCAGCATTGCATGTAATGCAGTCGATTACACATACGTCAAGGTATGTAGCGTATTTTTTGTTTCAGATTGCTTCATCCTAAGGGGATTTACAACAGAATATTCGGGGCCTCTTTCGAGTGAATCTCCCTGTATTTAAATATATTGCAGGAAAAAAAAAATAATCAAGCTCAGTGCACAGCCCTAAGGAAAACCCAATTTTCAGATCTGACAAACTGATTTGCCATGGTTTTTACCTTGCTCTACATTTATGTATCTTTAAAGTATTTGAATGCCTGAATTTCTTCCCACATTCTGAGCAGTGATATGGTTTCTCCTTTGAGTGAATCAGTTGATGTTTTTTGAGAGTACCTCCATCTCTAAAACTCCTTTCGCACTCTGAGCACTGATACGGCTTCTCTCCTGTGTGAATGCGCTGGTGTCGCTGGAGATTACCCTTGTCTCTAAAACTTTTCCCACAATCTGAGCAGTGATAGGGTTTCTCTCCGGTGTGAATGCGCTGGTGTCGTTGGAGATGAGCCTGTAGAGTAAAACTGTCCCCACACTCTGAGCAGTAATACGGTTTCTCTCCCGTGTGAATGCGCTGGTGTTTTTGTAAAATACTCTGTAGAGTAAAACTCTTCCCACACTCTGAGCAGTGATACGGTCTCTCTCCAGTGTGAAAGCGTTGGTGTATTTTGAAATCAACACTGAATCGAAACCTCTTCCCACACTCCAAACAGCAGTGTGGTTTCTCTCCTGTGTGAATGCGTTGGTGTCGTTGAAGACTACTTAGCTGAGTGAAACTCTTCATACACTCTGAGCAGTAATACCATTTCTCTGCTGTGTGGATGCGTCGGTGTAGTTGGAGACTGCTCCGTCTCGTGAAACTACTCCCGCACTCAGCACAGTGATACGGTTTCTCTCCCGTGTGAATTCGCCGATGTATTTTGAGATCATCACTACATCTAAAACTCTTCCCACATTCTGAACAACAATGTTGTTTCTCTCCTGTGTGAATGCGCTGGTGCCGCTGGAGCGTGCCCTGTTGAGTAAAGCTTTTTCCACACACCGTGCAGTAATACGGCTTCTCTCCTGTATGGATGCGCCAGTGACGCTGGAGACTACCTTGTTGGGTAAAAGTCTTCATACACTCCGAACAGTGGTACAGCTTCTCTCCTGTGTGAACGTGCTGCTGTATTTTCAGATGAGTTTGTACAGTAAAACTCTTCTCACATTCTGAGAAGTGACTCTCTTGGCCAGAGGAACTCTGACGAGTGCTGGAGCTCCTGGACTCCATATGTGCATATTTAATCTATCTTGGTTTCTGCAGAGAAATACAGTCTTCTTGGTGACATGTTGACATCATGTGTTTGTGGAGGTAAATTTAAACTGTGCAGGAAAGTGGGCATTACATGCAGAGGACTTGCAAAAGGACATCATTCATTTCTGGAGGAAAAAAAATGAAAAATTCAATGCAGAATGCAACTAAAGTATGACAACAACTGGAGACTGCTGTAACCAACAAACAATGTTTTAGTTTAAAATTAAAACTGAAAAAAACCTACAAGATTAACCAGACAAAATGAAAACAAACAAAAAGTGGTTCTTATTCCCTGTTCTGGGGCTATCCCTGTGCACTTCAGACTGGGATTAAAAACTGTTGGTGTTTACTTGTGGAATAAGAGCACACTATAGTTTTAGTCATGTGGCAACTAAGAAGTTAAGAATAAATCTGCTCTTTATTGTGAATTCTGATAAGGTACAACAGGTTGGTGCATACATGCAACTCCACTGACATTCCCTAATTGCCTCAAGTGGTTTCCACTCAACATTTCTCTACAGCACACCCTACTGTGTCTACAAGGTAAATGCTGTTTGATAGTATTGGAGTAGGACAAAAAGTCAAATTACATGTTTTCCCTTACAACATCAACAAAACATGTTAACACATCCTCTACAGACAGACTTCAATATGGCATTTTCTGGAAACCCTAGTGCACTCCTGAGTTTAGCATATTTAAGAAAAAACAATAAAACATTGATAAAGAAAATAAATATGACAAACAAAACGTAATTTCAAACCTTTGCACACAGCTGTATAGGCTAAAGTTGGGACCTCAACTGAAAGATCGAAAAGTCTTGCTCAGTTAGGAAATGCACTTAACTCCCAGTGAGCGAAGGGTAGGTTATGTTCATCTCTTTTGAGTTCAGTAAGTAAGGTATTGCACACTTGTAAATCATTGCCTAATGCATGAAACAGGATGGCCATCCTTAACTTCATGGTCACGTTAACATGGAGATTTTCTCTAGCTGTATTAAACATTCCTATGTGAATAGGTTAGTATAAGATGCTTGACCCGACAACGGTTCTTCCTTTTCCATCAATTCCTCTCGTGAACTTCAATCATTTGCTAGTCTAAAGACTCGACAAGTTAGCTAATCTCCAACTCACTGCTCAAACTTCAGGCACCAGCACGACTACCATAACTTCAACAAATAAGTTGACCATGTTGTAGTCTTTACTAGTGGAACAAGAACTTGAACCAGATGAGTGGCAAATGAGATCAATTAAATCTTAATTTGAATTCTGACATACAACCTGCTAGTGCACACAAGCAACTCTTAAAATTGTACCTCATGATTTCCACTGAACATTTGTCTGCAAGATACCCCACTGTATCTACAGGGTAGCTTTTTTTATATAAGCATTATCATATTTTTTCTAGTTATTGGCTTCAGTTCTGGAGTTCCTGAATTTTCTGATTTTAAACAGAGATGGTCAGTCAGGGCAACTGGTGAATTTACATGGACTGACCCCATATGTCTTCTCATAGTAGTACAGGCCTGCTATAGTTTGTACAAAACAAATAAATAAATTAATATCATGTACAACTGTAGCAACTGTGTGTACTAATTAACCAAGATGAGGCTACCAAAACTATTAAAGAATGTCTTTTATTTTTTAGCCCAGTCTTACTGTTTTTAATAACTGCTCCTCACCAGCATGAACCGTCTAACTCAATGATGTCCAAACTTATCCACAAAGGGCTGGAGTGGCTGTGGGTTTTCATTCCTACAAAACAGGAGTGCACATGATCAGCTGTTGAAGACTAACTGTTTAAACAAGTGAAATCAGGTGTGCTCCTGCTTGCTTGGAATAAAAATCTGCTGCCATAATGGCCCTTTACACATAAGATTGGACACCCCTGATCTAACTGGACTTCAGCCCAACCAAATAAGGCAATTGCTTAAGCCTTTTCCAAAGGATTTCCAAAGATTGTCCCATTGTACTGTATTGAATAAAAGGGCTACCGAGGAATGTTAAGCTTTTAGTACTACAATTATGAGCCAAATCATGTTACATACACACACAATTAGACTCATCTATTAAAGAATAACAGTCTCATTCAAAAGCAGATTACACAAAAACCCAAACTTTCATTGGTCACAGCTGCTTAAAGGACTGCAACAAACAGTGAATATGCAGACTAAACTAGTAAGCAAACATGCTATCGTTTGCATTTATTTCTGAGAATAAATGGGACTTATAACTGTGAGTAAGCCAGCAGTAAACTTGCTCAGACTGCCTTGTTATTCATTAAGGTTGATGCCTCTCAGTTTAGTGTGTACTCTGATAACAGAAAAGCAGTTTTTGAATAGCTCAAAAAAAAAAAACATAAACAAAACACAGCAAGCTTCTAGTAGATTCTGCCCCCAGACCAAAAAGCGCCTGAAATACCTTCCCATCCATAATGCCATAGTCCCTGTTTTGGTTTATAGTATCTGCTTCATATGTACACAAATTCTAGTATATATAGAATTTCTTTGTACAATGATAATGAAGGATTAAACATTAGCAGACAAAAGAAGATGCATATGGGATAAGCCGTTGGGATAAGGCCTCTTGTCATCATGATATTTTAGCTGCTAACTAATTGCTATGCAAAAAGTTGAAATTAATAATTTATTTGTCTTGTATTATACATTGTATGCATCCTGTAAATCAATCTTAAATTGGCCACAGAGGCTGATTTGCTGTCTTGCATCCTAGCTATCGATACTTGATTCACCCACAGAAAAAACTACTATTCAGGGTACAAATGCTGTCACTGGGGTGGTTGCCTCAAGTGTATCTTCAGTATCCTTTAGTTAGGGAACATAATTGTACCATATTCCCCAGGCTTTCTTTTCTACTTAAAAAAATATGAAACGGTACAAATATGCCCATTTGTACCTTTTGAATTTTACCAGTGTAGCTCCCAACTGAGGACAGACACAGCTCGAGCTCAAATGTATAAATAGTACTGACTCACTGCTATGTAAACAAATTAAAGCACCAATTAGAAGTTAGAACCTCTGCACCCTTAAGTAGCTGGTTTTCAAGGGTTCCTTAGTAAAAGAAATGGACAGGAGTTCTGTAGAGAGCCATCGGCATGCTTAAATGTTTTTTACATGGTGAAATGGTTCTTCAGATTGACGGAGAATGTGTTTTGTATGGTTCTATATAGAACCGTTTTGAAAATGCTTCTATATAGCAGCAAAAATGGTTCTGCTACATACAATGTCAAGCTTGTAACAATATATGGTTCAGTTTAGAACTATGTACAACATGTTATCCATCAATCTGACAAACCATTTCACCATGCAAAGAACAATTTAACGTGCAACTGGTTCTACGTAGAACTTAGGGTTCTGAACAGAACATCTCTCTTCCTTTTTTCATATGCGTTTGTCAAAATCCAATGGGTGAAAACACACCCAATTCATTTTTTTGTTGCAAAGTAATGTCTGTGAAATCTAGTAACTGTAGATTTTGGAAAATAATCACCCTGCTGAAAAAAAAACATGGAAACCATTAAGTGTTTCTGTTGGTTCCTGATGGTTTTGTAATGTGTTTTGGCTTTTTTGATGGGTTGATCACAGTGTAAAGGACCCTAATAGTTTAACAGGTGACCAATGGATGATTCTAAATGCATCTGATGGTTTCCTAATGGAAACTAAAGGTGTTCTACAGGACATTAGTGGTCTCCATTGGTAACCACTGAGCCAATTCCCATCAGGCAGCAAAACTATTCTATTTTAATCCTCATGGTTTCTAATGGTCCTTTTCAGCAGGGCAGCGCAAATAATCGCGATGAGGCGATCATGTCATAATTTGACAGGCCTACTTTGGGAACAAGTTGTCGGAGATGGTTCATAAGCAAAACAGCACTTTAGATGAACAGCACCTCCACCAAATCAGAGCATTAACTACAACCGAGATACAAGCTCGTACACTGTGTTTGCTTTTCGAGTATTTACCGTGTAAATTCAAACAGAGCATCAACAAATGCCCGTCAAAGCCCATCTAGGAAAAGGTGGTACAACGAAACAATAGCCTAGCCAGGTCTGGACGACGGCTGCTTCCATATTGGATACATTTTGCTTTTTAAAAAATGGAAATCTCTCCAACCATTTCTCCAGGTTCAGTGAAACACACAGTGGAAACAATGTGAACACGTGATGAACAGATTCTTACTTTCAGTAGCGCAGCTTCTGTTTTTATGGGATTTCTCTCCCTCCAGCAGCGCAGCAGAAGAAGGGACGGACTACTAATCCGATTTTCTGCTTCTCCACTTTGTTGGACAGTGAGAACCAGTTGTAGAATTAGCGCCACCACCTGGGACGCAGGGAACTTCACACTGGAACCATGTAAAGACGGAGTCTGGCTGTTTTTAATTATACCTGTTTTCCGACAGCCCCGCCCCTTTTCTACAATTGGCCATTAATTCACACAAGCAGTCCACAGATTGGCCAGTTGAAAAGTCATTCACATCACCGAATGAACCTGCATTGTAAGCTCGATTAGAAACAGAAGCAGACCTTCTAACATGCGATAACCACAGATCAAGGTCCAATCATATTTAATCCATTTTTAAACATGAGTAAATAGACACTTTATTTATAAAGCATGCCTGCCCTGCTGAAAAAGACCCTTAGAACCATTAAGATTAGAACATGATAATTTTGCTTATTAGAGATCACCTACCATTAGAGATCACCAGTTTCTTGTAAGACATCTTTGGATCCCATCACAAAACCAGGAATCAGTCCTAGAACACCTGTTAACTAACACCTGTTAAGAGTCCTTTACACTGTGATATCAACCCATCAGGAAAACACAGAATACCAGTACTGACGTTTGGACACCAGCAGAAACCAACAGAAATTTTTAATGGTTTCTGTGATATTTTACAGCAGGATATTATTTAGGCTGCTAAGCTCAATATTGCTTTAAAGCATAATGGGGGAGGACATAGGCTGAGGGGGCACAGTGGTGTCCAGGTCAGGCCCAAACTCCTAATATTCAAGAACTGATGAAATGGTTTTACATGATCATGTGGTGGGTGGTGCTCTTTCACAAATTTTTAGATTTCTGAGCAGTAAAAACTTTTGGAATACATTTAAGGGAGGCCCAAACTCACAGCTCAGTCAAAACGAACAATAGGCATAACTGTGTTTACTCTCAGCTGAACTGTATCAAGGTCACTGCATTAGTGGATAAATAGCAGAACAAAGCTACGATCATTTAGAAGGGGTAGTTCTGAAATGGTAGCTTCTCAGACCTCCTGTTCATTAGACATACTTGTCACTTTAACATTCAGTGGCTAAAAGATTGAACCGGTTTAATCAAATTAAACATGGTTTCCAGAATTCCTTTTTGGTTTTCTTTACATTTACCTACATATTAATATTTTGCCAATTCTCAAACATGTGTTTTCTAACAATAACATTAAATGACACCTTAATGGGCATAGCATCAGTAACTAATGGGGGTGGGATTTGTCAAAATTTTGCAAATGGTCAGTTACTATCACCCAAAGTGTTCTCAGCATCAGTTCACTGCCCTCAGTAATAAGCCTACTGTAAACAGAACTCACAGACATAGCTGAAAGTATTGATGCCCTTCCACTTTTTCAAAACTAACAATTTTCTCTGAACTAGATTAAAACAGACTAAAGTTTCATTTTAGTCCAGAATTTATCGATAGGCTTCTGATTACATCGTGCCCTGTAGAGACTTAAGGCACCAAAAGCCAGAGGCAGCAAAGCAACCACATACTTTAATCACAGCTTAAGCACAGCTTTTAATCAAATATTAACAAAAAAGGATTAAGCAATCAAGATGAATCAATCAAGATGGATGAATGAAATTGAAAGGATCTTCAAAAGATGTGTGTACAAAGATCATAACTGTCCAGGCTGTGGTTCTTTATGTATATGAAAGCTGTACAATAAAAAGTGCAGGCAAATTATTGATGCCTTTGAACTTTTGTATTATACTTTTGACAAAGAAATTTAAGAGTACCTTGGACAGTAAAGAATGCCAACACATGGATCACTGACCAAATCAAGCCTCAACTCTCATGCAAATCCCAGATAATCAAACTGAAACCTTAGAATCTTATTGTGGACATAAGACTCTGGACAATTCAATGAGAAAAACAATTACACTTGGAAGAGCTGGAAGAAGAGGACAACAACCCACAAGGCGGACAGATACAATCAAAGGAATTACGAACCAGATCTTAAAACCTGATAAAAAGAAAAGACTCAAACAGAAGAGTGGATATTCTGGAGAAACACTATCGATAGGGTTGCCAGGGGACAAAAACAGCTTGACAGCATGTAGTAATATCATGCTCTGTAGTTAACCGAAGAGTTCCAAAGGCAATGTTGGAGGTATATTTTTCCCCTGAATATCACAGTCACTTGACCTACAAGGTCATCTCATTTATCCTAAAATAGGTCATATAATTTTGCACAATTTTGTTACTGGAATTGTAACCAACTTCTAGATATATCCAAAGACATCTCCTTTTTCAATGTTTATAAGCAACTAAAAGGCAAAGTAAACGGACAAGGTATTATCACGATGTATCTATCAAACAGCAGTTCTCAGACTAAGCACTCATTCTTGTTTTATTTTCAAGCTCACATTTTGTGTATATTCCCCACATGAATAGAATTGGCAGAAGTTTAACAATTTAAAACCCCAAACCTGTAAGCAAAATATTAAGTATCAACATATAAAAATATGTTGCAAATACAAATAATAAAAACTACAAATCTCCAAAATATACATAGTCCCCTTCCTACTGTCCGTAATCATGTGATTCTAATTTTCCATTTGAGTTTCCATTCTTGGAAATGGACATAAATACCTGGAGGTGCCCCAAGACAACAGACTGAATTTGCTGTAGATGTAATTTTAAGTGTCACAGTGTTCTGCGAAGAAAAAGAAAAAAAACAAAGAAAAATCACATTTCTAGATGCTCAAAGCCAAAATAGCTTTAAGTAGAGAACCAGCTGGTTTCAGAAATTTCTTTTCAGACCAACAGCATGTATTATAAGATGCATAGCTGCAACTTTCAGCAACTAATAATGAGAATCATGGGTTTTAATTGACATTATGATTCTGCCTCTGTCTTATTGCATTTGTGTGTCCTTAAAGAGTTTGAATGCCTGAAACTCTTTCTACACTCTGAGCAGTAATACGGCATCTCTCCTGTGTGAATGCGCTGGTGTATTTGGAGAATACTCTGCACAGCGAAACGTTTCCCGCAGTCTGAACAGTGAAATGGCTTCTCTCCTACATGAATGTGCATGTGAACTTGGAGATTACTGTGCTGGGTAAAGCTCTTCCCACACTCTGAGCACTGGTATGGCTTTTCTCCCGTGTGGATGCGTTTGTGCGCTTGGAGAGTACTTGGCTGATTAAAACTCTTTCCACAGTCTGAGCAGTGATACGGCTTCGCCCCTGTGTGAATGCGCTGGTGCCTTCTGAGGGTACCTTTCTCCCTAAAGCTCTTCCCACACTCTGAGCAGCAATGCGGCTTCTCTCCTGTGTGAATGAGCTGGTGTGTGTGCAGACTGGCCTGTTGACTGAAACTCTTCCCACACTCCGAGCAGTGGTACGGCTTCTCTCCTGTGTGAGTGCGCTGATGTCGTTGAAGGTGACCCTGGATAGTGTAGCTCTTCCCACATTCTGAGCAGTGATATGGCTTCTCTCCTGTGTGAAAGCGAAGGTGTGTTTTGAGTTGACTCTCTATAATAAAACTCTTCCCACACTCAGAACAGTGGTGACTTCTTTTCTTGCCGGCATTTTTCCGTTTTTTCTTGTGATGGCTTTTAGGCATCTCCTGATGTGTTTGTAGAAGTAACTTGTAACCGTGTATGAAAGCAAACTCTGAAAATAAGTTCAGGACATTGTTCTTTCCTGGAAGAAAAAAAAACAGTGTATTTTATATTTGGTAGGCTGCATTGTGTAGAAGTAGGAAATCTCCTACTTAAAGACTAATGCACAATGGTCCAAAGAGTACCATGATCTTATAATCTTTTGTAAAACAAAGGCAGATGCTCACACACAAGCTACAAAGCTTTATCAGGGACCAAATTAATGGTCAGTTTGTTTGGAACATCAGAAACAGCTGTTGGTTCTACAAGAGTGGAAGGGATCTCTGGTACTGGAGGGCCGCATACTTGCACAGTTTGGTGGTTTTCCTTCTCAAGGACACCTGATCCAACTCATCAGTTAATTACCAGGTTTAATTGGTGTGTTAGAGCATGTACATCACCAAATTGTGCAGGACCCTGGCCCTCAGATCCCCACCAAAGCTCTTTACAATGGACTTTTTAATGTTGTTTATAATGAGCTACAAAAACACAGATATTATGCACTGATATGAAAAATCTGGGCCAATGCTGATAGTTTTAATGTATATATGTGTTGATGCTAATGCATAAACACACATTCATAAATCTAACAATTGTTCTGTTTACTGTTTTCTTCAATTTCTTCATTTTTATTCCTTGTTCTTTCCCCTAGCCATGCTTTATTTAGATTTATGTGTTGATCTAAAGTTTTGACAGTGCAGTGTGATCGCCAATGGCTCTGTTGATTTCATATATATATATATATATATACACACACACCTATCAGGCATAACATTATGACCACCTCCTTGTTTCTACACTGGTCAGGACCCCCATGGACCCTCACAGAGCAGGTACTATTTGGGTGGTAGATCATTCTCAGCACTGCAGTAACACTGACGTGGTGGTGGTGTGTTAGTGTGTGTTGCGCTGGTCTGAGTGGATCAGACACAGCAGTGCTGCTGGAGTTTTTAAACTGCTGGACTGAGAATAGTCCACCAACCAAAAATATCCAGCCAACAGCGTCCTGTGGGCAGCATCCTGTGACCACTGATGAAGGACTAGAGGATGACCAACACAAACTGTGCAGCAGCAGATGAGCTATCATCTCTGACTTTACATCTACAAGGTGGACTGACAAGGTAAGAGTGTCTAATAGAGTGGACAGTGAGTGGACACAGTGTTTAAAAACTCCAGCAGTCTGTAAGAGTCTGTAATTGTAGAACTACAAAGTGCACCTATATAGTATGTGGAACTGATAAAATGGACAATGAGTGTAGAAACAAGGAGGTGCTCATAATGTTATGCCTGATTATATATGCAGACATTGTACCTAATTCCACTTTGAATAGCATCTTAGCATCTCTGTCTGTACCTGCCTGTACAGATATGACATTATCATGATGTGTCCATTAATCGGATTGAATTTGATTGAATTCATCATGTAAATCCTAAATACAGCTTCATACTTGTACCAATCCTAGCAAGAAAAACATGAATCCACCGGAAGTACCGGTTTAAGAGCCCAGAGCTAACACTG